CTGAAGATAGGCCACATCACATCCTAGCTTCAGTATCTCCTAATCTCGCCAGAGTGGTTCAATAAACATTAATTGAGGCTATGAATGCAATAACGGACCAACACACAAAAATTCAAAATTTATTTTATTGTAGAATAATAACTCTCTAATTGAAATCTATCAGCTGCATAGTAGACAAATCAACATTTTTCTATTTGTTACTAGATGGCAGCACTAAAGTAGTTTTGGAACTTCATATTTAACAGGATATTAGAGAAGTAAAGTGGACCATGTGCGGTTAGTCCACTGTGCTGCTGACAGTTAGATGTTTTTCTATCATTCTTGATTGATATTTTTCTTATTGTAAATTGTCATTGTGACTTTTAATTATTATGAAATATATTTATTCTGTTCTATCCCCTATTCTATTTTATTTTCTAAGAAACATTCAACAAGGAATATAATTTACACTTTCATACACCAATTGCTGACTCTTATAAGAAGTGTGATTTGTTTTAAGTCAACATAAAGGCAGCTAACAGTGAATCAATTAAACAACTCGAAACTGAAAAAGAGCTTTGTCAAAAGAAGACGAAGAGTGCTCAAGATTCTTTAAAAAGAGACACCGAAATAGCAAAACAATCCTGCATTTTATTTTACATAAAAAAAATTAGTAAAATATAAATGACTTATTATGTATTCTGACCAATGTGGCGGTCAGAATCGTAATATTAATATGTCATTATTATGCAATTATATAACTACATATCCAGATTCTACAGTGGAAGAAATAGATCACAAGTTTCTGGTAAGTGGTCATTCTTACTGGACATCTGACCAAGATTTTGGTATAATAGAAAAAGAAAAGAAATTCCATCCTCATGTATTTATACCCAAGACTGGCATACAGTGATAAAGCATGCTAGAAAGAAAAATCAGTTCACAGTAAGAAACATGGACAAATCAATTTTTTTTTCTACAAAATTGCTTGAAAGTAATATAACCAACAGAAAAGTTTCTGAATCAAAAACCAAGGTAGAGTGGCTTAAAATTCAATGGTTAAGGTTTAGGAAAGACTTTTTCAAACTTTTTAATATAAGTATTTGAACAATGAAGATGTTTATTTTGTAACAGTGGAGCTTAATAAAAGGAAATCTGTTTCCAAGAATACAATGGAATTGCCACTTCTGTATCCAAATGGTAATACCATTAATGAAGCTAAAAAAAGACCTTTTTCAGTGAATGCAATTGATACCCCCTATACACCATGAATTTTATAAAAACCTGAAATATTAATCTCAAGCAGCTGGAGATAAAGTAATTACAACAACGAAGAGGATTAGACATTCTAACTTCTGATGTTTTTATACACATTCTGTGGCAATAAAGTATTTGATGCAATATTGTGTATTATTGTATTATTTTGTGGGATAACCCATTCACTAAATAAAAATATTTTAAATTCAAAGTGGACCAACCCACATTTAAAAATGAAATATAGGTGTTTATCCAAAATTTTTGATCAAACTTATCACATAAGTAATATCTAACATAATTCAATTCATTCAAACAAAAAATATTCTTAAACAAAGTTATAGTGGATCTCCTAATTTTTACTTTTTTTCAAACTGATATTCTAACACTTATTAATATTTGGGTTAGTCTGTTATTGCACTCATAGCCTCAATTTTTAAGTAAACTCATGTAATAAAAGTTAAAACTTCAGAAAATCTAATTACTTTCTTCTTGATAAATTTCTTTTTTCTATGATTGCCTACATAGCATACTAGAACAAACTGCACCTCTTTTCAAGTCTAATAAGAACTAAATAAAATAATTATCCTGTTTGGTATACAGAGGAAATTATAAAAGATCTGCAAGTAAAGGGTAGTTACATAAAAAAAAACACAAAAAAGTTTATCACAGTCTGATTATTTTGCATTCTCCAGTTTCAGAAAAATAATAAAAAGTAAGATTGATATCACATACTGAAGCTATATACACGAAACTGGATATTTTCTAAAGAGTGATCCCAAACAATTTTGGAAATATATTTGCCAAAACAAATAAATCTTGCATATCTGGCTCTATGATCCTTGGTCAATCCAATGTGAGACACCTTGAATGATTGTCAACACATTAGCTAATTTTTCTAGAGTGTTTATGTAAACTAATCCCATCCCCCACTTTTAGAGTATCCTGATCAAGATACACACTCTCAAAATAGAATACACCATTATTTCACTCAAGACGAAGTCTATGATGTACATGGAAATATGAAAAACAAAACACACAGCTGGTCATGACAAAATTCCATCCTTTATTCTTCGAGATTGTTCACAATGTTTTACAACTCCCATGCATTATATATGCATTTTGGCTATAAAATCTTGTAAATAATTGGTGGATTCGACTGTTACTTGATTTTACTACTTGACTACAAAATTTTCAGTGTTTTAGTGTTACATAAAATCTTGTAATTTCCCAGAGCTTTGGAAGATTGCTAAAATATATCCAGTTCATAAAAGTAGCTCAACAAACAATATTGAAAATTATAGGCCAATTTCCATTTTATGCAATTTCTTAGGGGCCTTGGAGGTGTGTCTTCAACAATCTATTTTGTCAGTAAAGAAATCTAATTTCTGTGAAAAAACATGGATGTTTCTCTAAAAAGCATGGAACCACAAATATTTTAAATTTTACTGAGCTGTCAACATGCTTTACATGCAAGGATGCCTGCTACAAATGTGGTCGTTAAGACATCTTAGAGGCGCTTCCACAAACTGCTAACACCAGACCTAAGCCAAAAGGCTATGGTAACTTTACTTTACCTAATCTGATTAATGTTCCCCTTCTTTACGATCTTGTTTACATATATTTTCTGATCTATGGGGTAGATCACACGGTTATCTACAGTCCAGTTGTTGCCTTGGGTGATTTTCTTGTTTGGTTGAGGACTATAAAAATATCTGCACCGATTTCTAGAACTTTCACATATATAAAATGTGTGTCATCTTGGCCCTTACAAAGCCTGATCAATGCCATTTTGCAGTTTTTACCTAAGTATTACATATTAAATACCAAAGTATTACATATTAAAGGTTGCAAAGGATGAGGGAGGCAGATGCTTAGATTAGATTGGTCAAAACAGCCACAGTAATTATACTGATAGTTATGGCCAAAGGGTTACCCCTTAGTGGTCACAACTTGCCTCTCTTGTAGTGGACTTGCTCTTGGAAGGCCTAGATAAACTGATCTGCCATGGAGTTTATGAATTCCATCTCATTCTGTAACCTGATTCTGGATGCTATGCCCTATATTTTACAACTAGAAACCAATTTTCAAGTGGGATAATGCCAGACCTTATATGACAGGAGTTACTAACAGGTAAAACAAGATTATTAAAATATTATAATTTATAATAGTAGTTATATCTTTACTAACAAGAATTGATAATAAACCAATATAAGATTTTATAATGGAACTAGTAGCCTTATAAGTTATAGTCATCATTCTACTGGTCTCCTTGTTTCATAGTTAGTAATTATCTTTCATTTATGGATAGGTTTATGTACAGCTGCAATACTTTTGAACATCAATTCATTTTAGTTAAAAAATACTAATACATATAAATTTTCCTTAATCTACAGTTCACAATAAAATCTTTTACAACTGATTTCATTGAGGGAGACTATAAGAGGAAATATCAATTTATACAGATGTCAAGATAGCCTACAATGGATAAAAGATATACCTGAAGTACTCAGAAAGCATTTCACAAAGCTTTCCAAACTGGAAAAGGAAAAATCAGTAAAACTGATGTCAACAAATAAAGAATATATCCGATATTGTGTAGGGTAAATTAAACAGGTTAGGTCATTGCCAAACAAAAATAAACACTAAACAGGAATCGAAGAAAAAGAACCTTCTGCTATACAACCAAAATACTAAATTCTAAGTCTAAAACTTTAGTCTTGCCAGGACTCAATTTTTGTAGTGAAGTAGTTGTAATAGAGTCTAAACTTAGTTAATTTACTAGAATATTGAAAGGAATATAATAAACATAATATTAATAAGTAAATGGTACCAAAACAAAATAAATATTTTTATTTTGTTACTAAGTATTATTTAAAATTTATAAACCTAAAATCAAAGCATAAACATTTATGGTCAGTTTGCCCTTGTAGAATTTAACCTTAGAGATAAGCTAAAAAGCTAAAAATAATGAAAAAATAGAAAAAGGAATATGGACAGAAAATTAAAAAATAGCATAAAATGATAAATTTACATAACATTGACAACACTGTAAGTTAATATTATTATTTTTTACCAAAACAATAATACTAGAAGTTCAACTTTATAGACTGTTTTTATAGAATTTCTTTTCCTGTAGTTGGAAAGTAAACAAACAAATATAATGAAAATATTAGTTAGTGGCCTCGAAACAAAATAATAACCATTAAACACCGGCGAAACATGTAGTAGGGAGTACATACAATATTTTGTCGTCATTCGCCAGACAAACATTGATTGAAATTTTAGGTTGATGTAACAAACACAGCCTGAACGCAGGCCACGTGCTCTACTATAAACTGAAAGGAAAAAGTATGTTGTCATGCTATGTAGAGAAAATCGCATCACTACCAACCAATGTATACTTTGTATTTGTATTTACTACAAACGTAATGAGCAACAATCAAAATAACGGTCATACGGCCCCCATACATAGAGCTCATAATAAGACAGGAAAATAGTCTGACGTCACCTGCTCAATAAATACTTCACAAGGATTTCCAAAATGACTCCTAGTGTTTATTTGAAACCGCACTGTTGGCCCGGTTGGCCTCGAGAAAGGGGTATTGATTTTCAATAAAGTATGAAAAGCCTATCCAAATCCGAAAAAGTAACACGTGATTTGAACCATGTGTACCTAAATTTTAACCTCTCAAGGCCTCCTAGGATAAACATACAGCAGCAATTATGAGAGCGGCATTTGTTTACATAACATTAACTAAACTTACGTCTTGGGTAACTTGATTGAAGGGGCTCCTTTCCTCTGAAATACTCCATCAATAAATACACCATTTTTTCCATTGCACAGCATGTAAAAATAAGGGTGTTCGAAGAAAACTTCTAAATGCCTTCGCGAAATAAAACTAGAATGTCCCATATTTACATCTACATCACCACGTGAACTGTTCCTACCTATAATAATCCGATCCTGCCGAACGAGGTACTCAAATTCGCGGCCTTCTATTCGAGCAATCGGTTCCCCTTTTACGTCGGGGCTCCACTGTACCTTCGAAGGACTAGCGGGAGCCGATTTTAAAGCGAGAAGGGCCCATGCATCGCTTTCCGGAGTCATTGAATATGATGTGGACATGGTGATTCACTACTTCACACCACTTTTTTAACCACACTCTTTAAACTGTCTCACTTCACTGTTTACCTAAGAATTGCTACAAACGTGGGAGTCACCTGTGTTGCACTTTGGTTCGTATGTTGATTTCATAACGTCCTAGTCGATAGAAATGTTGGTAAACACGTGAGATTGGCATAAAAAACAGTCTCTACCACAGACACATCTAGTAATTTTAGACGGAAAATTTTGTATTTTGTGGTATAGGAACTAAGTCTTGACAGACGACAGCAAAATACGTGAGAACTATTTTCTTTTTGTCTGCCGCCATCTACTACTTACTAGTTAAACTCCTTAAATTAACATTGGTCTTGATTTTCTGCCGGGTAGAATACTTTAACAGGACATCATATTGGAATTATTAAGAACATAAGAATCTTGAATGATTAAAATAACTTTGTTATTGAAAACCGACCTCAGTTTAAATGTCACATTATGTAAACAAACATACATTTATTATTTACAAACAATTTGTGTTCGAACAAATGGGCGTGCTTTGTTAAAGTCAAGAGTCAAAATTTACATAGAAACGTCAAAGTTGTCAGTTTATTTTTTTGAGGGAAAAGATATATCTAATCAACGTTGTAGATCTCTCTAAAAAAATATTATCACAGATACATAAAATAAAAATAACCAATATTATAATAATATTTTTAAACCTTTTAATATACTTTGATACTATTATTCAAAATCACTCTTGCCAAAGCCACCATTACATTTTCAAAGGGAAAGGTAAAATATATAGAAGTCTTCGCCTTTTGTGTTGTATAATATTTGTATGTCCAGATAAAACTACTAATTATATCATAGTCTCCATCTATTGGTATAGTACGAAACTACTATGGATAATCAATAAAGATTTCTACCTGCAATCTACGTACTAAATAAAAAAACTAACTTTATATAAAGTTATAAGTTGTACTAGTATAATATATTTTAATCTTTTGTTAATAAATATTTGTTATACCATGATAAAAAAATCTGAATATAAAATTTTCTTTCCATTTTATTGCGCTGTGCAAAATTAGGTAATTTTTTATATTGTTCAGGACCGGATCAATTATTTTTAACAAATAATTGATTTAAGATATTCTAATATACGTAGTTTTTTTTAATTCTCCAAACTTATGAAGTCTAATACTTTATTCCTAGATATTGATTCTTATTGCTTTGCCTTATTATATCAAATACAGTTATAGTTCGTCTTTTGACATCCCTTTCGTAGTATCGTTCATGTTGGTAATAATATGGCTACAATGGTTCTTAAGCCTAGCTGATGTAACGTTCAGGATTTATCCTTGACGTATTACTTTCGTATCCCATCGAGGTGAAAACGAATTTAAGGGAATAAAACTAGTAAATGAAAATTAATAAGTAAGATGTCTAATACTGCCGTCCTTGAAAGGTCCTATCTGCAAAATTTAGGTTTTGAGAAAATCCAGTTTTTGTTTCTTTTCATTATATAACCACAGTATTACTGTGGTATACCGCTTGGTAATCTAACAAACTCTTTATGTTTTATTTTATATATTATGTCTAAGAATAGAATTTAATTGCTAGTCATAATTTTGATTTATTCTTTCCGATTAGTTGATTTTTGATTATATTGTCACTTAGGACAATATAGCTTAGTATATGAAATCCTTTTCTTTGTGTTACTTACTGAAGTTGTCCTAAATGAAACTAAAATTATAATTAACTGAACACTTTTAAGTGAAGTCAGTGAAGTTAAAAAATTGTGGAAGTTGCATTTTTATTAAATTTACTTTTGACGAATTGGCTTGTTTTACCGTTTCGCAAAAATCGTCAAAATCGTAAGTATACTTTTTTGTTTCTTTTAAGAGCAAGCTCAACTTGGTAATGAAATGAATATGCGGCCATAAAAGTATGACCTGGCTCAAAAAATTTGATTATTATGTCTTTCTACAGCAACTTCTGAACTGTTAACCAAATACATAAAGAAACTAAAAAGGGAGCAATTTTTATTTTGGATCGAGCAATTATCAAGCCAAACTGTTATATGTGTATTGTCCCTATTTGCCAGAAAAAAAAGCGTAGAACGCAGAAATAATGTCATCTTTGGATCTGCCAGCAATTCCCTTATGCCACAATATGGCTAAAGGGTAGGTATTATTTACAGACAGTAGACTGTTATTTCTTTCTGAGAGGTAAACCTCTCAGAAATAAATAACAGTCTACTGTCTTTGAAGGACACGATCTCTTCGGATTAATGCAACACACAGTAATTCTTACACCGGTTTCTCGGAAGATCACTTCAAGCATGCTTCTGACAATCTTCCAATCCAGATTATCTAGTGCATGGCCTATCTTGGGTAAGGCCAAATTCTTAATGTCGTAATTGCAGACGATTTTCTTCAAATTAGTTAGAGCACACCATATATCCTCGTAGGTTGCCCTGTCTGTATACGACTTCCTGGTCACCATATACAGCAAAGATCGAGAACCATCTTCTAATCTCAGTACTCTTCCAACTTTAGGCTGCTGGTTTTTTAACTCGTCCAAGCGACCGAATTTCTTATAAAATACGGATGAGATTCCTTTAGTCATCTCAAGATCTTGGGCAACACAGTGGGCTAGAGTGACGTTATGCGGAACACTAAAAAGATCCTGCTGAACTTCTGTCGTCACGCCGAATCTAGCACTCTTTCTCTCTGCGTAATTTGACATAAACTCATTAAAGCTTGGTCGCCGGTCATCTTTGATCTCATGTTGAAGGATTCGTACTTCTTCTGTTTCATTTGAGCCAGCATAAGGTGCAAGACGATTTATGTGAACTACTTTTGGTTTACCTTTCGGCAACTTCTTAATTCGGTATATTACGTCATTTATTCTCTTTTTAATTTCATACGGACCCTCCCATTGTCTTTGCAGTTTAGGAGACAAGCCACGACGACGTTGTGGATTATAAAGCCAAACAAGATCACCGACTTCATAGTTTTCATTCTTGCATCGAGAATCGTATTGATTTTTCATTCTGTCACTGGCTAACTGGATGTGTTGTCGGGCAAGTTCATGAATATTGTTCATTCTTAACTTCAGGCGGTCGACATAATCTTCGCTTGCAACATGTTCTTCAGAAGGTCTGCAGCCAAACTCTAGGTCGCAGGGCAAACGAACTTCACGACCTAACATCAGGCAGGTTGGAGTCTGGCCTGTAGTTTCATTCACGGCCGAGCGGTAGGCCATTAGGAATAAATGAATGTGCTGGTCCCAATCTCTTTGATGTTCTGATACAACTTTGGACAGGTGTTTACCCATCGTTCGGTTCATTCTCTCGACCATTCCATCTGATTGAGGATGCAGGGGTGTCGTTCTGGTCTTATTGACACCAATCAATTTACAAACGTTTTGGAAAAGGGTTGACTCGAAGTTTCGCCCTTGGTCGGAGTGGATCTCTAAAGGAACACCAAATCGGCTGAAGAATTCTTTAACAAGTACCTCTGCAACGGTAGCAGCTTCTTGATTTGGTATCGCGTAGGCCTCAGTCCATTTCGTAAAATAATCCATAGCTACCAGGATATATTTATTTCCATCATTCGTCTCTGGAAGTGGACCGGCAATGTCGATTGCTACTCTTTCCATAGGACTACCAACATTATACTGTTTCATGGGTGTTCTCTTTTAACTAACCGGACCATTACTGGTTGCACACAGTTCACATTTACGGCACCATCTTCTTACATCATCTTTACAGTTCGCCCAATAGAACCGTTCTCGAACCTTTTGCATAGTCTTCGTAATACCAAAGTGTCCACCTGATGCACCGTCATGTAACTGACGCAATACTTCTGACACTTTACTTTTAGGTACAATCAACTGAAGCTTAGTTTCTGTACCATCATCTTTCTCAAAGGTTCTATACAGAAGATCATCTTTCAGCACTAGGCAATTCCATTGGCTCCAGTAACACTTGACTTCGGGACTACATGCACTAATGTCTTGCCAAGAAGGTCTTTCACTTCGACGCATCCAATCCAATACTCTTTTTATACACGGATCATCTGCTTGGGCGTCTTGTAGCTGTTGTGTCTGCCATTGATCATTAATGACGGTGGTTCGTCTCACGGGGCAAAGTCTTTCTTCTAATTTAAGACAGTGATTACAATGTTCACTGCACGGCCGCCCGGCCGTCTCGAAAGCGCATCAGCATTTAAATGAACTCTTCCAGCCCTGTGTTCGATCTCGTAATCATATTCTTGTAATCGTTCTAACCATCTTGCCATCTGTCCCTCTGGATTACGGAATTGTAGGAGCCATTTTAGAGCAGCGTGATCCGTGCGAAGAAGAAACTTTCTGCCATACAATTATTTATGGAAATGCTCGCAAGCCTTTACTACGCCTAGCAATTCTCTCCTGGTAACGCAATAGTTTTTTTCTGGTTTCGACAAGACTTTGCTAAAGTAAGCGATGACTTTCTCCTGTCCATCTTGGATTTGGGAGAGAACTGCTCCTATTGCACTGTTGCTTGCATCGATATCCCACACAAATTTTCCTGCCTGTCTAGGGTAGCTTAAAATCGGTGCGCTGATCAGAGTCATTTGTAAGTGTTCGAAACCTCTTTGACATTCTTCGCTCCATGTATATTCTTTGCCTTCTTCTGTCAACTTTGTTAATGGCTTGGAGATGTTGGCAAAACCTTTGACAAAACGTCGGTAATATGTACATAGGCCAAGAAAACTTCTAATTTCGTGTTTATCTCTTGGTACCGGCCAATCCTTAATTGCTGCAAGTTTTTCAGGATCAGCTGTTACACCATTACTTGCTACAATATGTCCCAAGTACTTCACTTCTCGTCGAAACAGGTGACATTTCTTCGGACTCAACTTCAAATTTGCTGCCCGCAATCGTTGAAAAACTTCTGTCAAATTATTGGCATGTTCATCGAAGGATCTTCCTACTACAATTACATCATCCAAATAAACCAGGCATGTTTTCCATGTTAGACCTCTTAAAACTGCCTCCATTAATCTTTCAAATGTGGCCGGGGCATTACATAAACCAAAGGGCATAACTGTGAACTGCC